TATGACATGAAAATTCTTCATTTCTTAATTGTTTACTCCTAGTAAATACAAGTGATTTCCAGATATTGATATTGTATGGAGTGATGTTATTAAATTATTTATTAATTTTAATAATTTTACAGTGATTATTTTAAATTGCTCATGTGCATAGTCCTGTAGTTTGTGAATGATAGTAGCTCTTTTTTCCAATCTTTGTAACCCCTTCTTGCTAGGCTTAATGTACTGTATTAGTGATAGTGATGACAGTGGACATTTTTGTTTTGTTTCTGACCTCCAGGGGAAGCACAATATTTTACTATGGATTAGAATGTTTGCTGTGGGGCCGGCACCGCGGCTCACTAGGCTAATCCTCCGCCTGCGGAGCCAGCACACCGGGTTCTAGTCCCGGTCGGGGCACTGGTTCTGTCCCGGTTGCTCCTCTTCCTGTCCAGCTCTCTGCTGTGGCCAGGGAGTGCAGTGGAGGATGGCCCAAGTGCTTGGGCCCTGCACCCACATGGGAGACCAGGAGAAGCACCTGGCTCCTGCCTTCGGATCAGCGCGGTGCGCCGGCCGCAGCAGCCGCAGGTGGTGGCCATTGGAGGGTGAACCAACGGCAAAGAAAGACCTTTCTCTCTCTCTCTCTCACTGTCCACTCTGCCTGTCAAAAAAAATAAAATAAAATGAAACTTTATTTTAAAAAAAAGAATGTTTGCTGTGGACATTTCCTTTTATTTCTTAGTTCGCTGATAATTTTTATCAAGAGTGGACTTTGGCTATTATCATTTTTTATGTTTTTTGTGATAATTACAATTTTCTCCTCTATTCTGTTAATGTGCTGAATTACATTTATTATCTTAGAATGTTAAATCAACCACACATTCCTGGAGGATAGCCATTATGTCATCTTTCGTATACATATCATTGGGTTTCCTTTAGTTTTATTTACGATATTCCGTAAGTAGATTGGTCTGTGATTTTCCTTCCTGGAATATCATCTTCAGGTGAGAACTAGTGAAAGAACTGCTGGCTTTATAACATGAGTTGGGAAGCATTCATTTTTTTTTCTTTTTTCTCTTTGCTGCAAGAGTCTGTGTACGACTACTAATATTTCTTTCAGAAGTGTTAGGAAGTCAGCAGTGAAGTCATGTAGAGTTTTTTCTGTAAGAACGTTTTAAATGAGAAATCCAAATTATTTAAGAGATACGGGAAGATTCTACTTAAATTCATGCTAAGTTGGGAGAATTGTGCTTTTCAAGGAACTTATTCATTTCCATTAAATTGTCAGATTTATTGGTCTAAAAAGGAACAGCTAAAACCAAACATATCAGTAGTTACAAATGGACTACAAATAAAATTAAAGACAAAGATTTTCAATAATTATTTACAAATAATTTCCAATGAAATGCTGTCTTTATTCTTTTTTGTTGGTTTGTTTAAGAGAAACAGAGGGTCTCCCATCTGCTGCTTCTCTTCCCATAGGCCTTCAACAGTCAGGGCTGTGCCAGGCTGCAGTCAGCCATGTGGGCAGCAGGGACCCGGCTACCGGAGCCTTGAGCAGGAGCTGGGGCCTGGACTTCAACTCAGGTGACCCAGTATCAGACGTGGACATCTTAACAACCACTGGGCCAAACGTCTTCCCCTGGAGCAGGTTTTAAAAGGCAAATTTCACATAAAAGGACTCAGCAAGATTCAGAGTACAAAGGAGGGGAAAAAATACATGATGCGAAGCCGAAGGTGATGTGGCTACATTAAATCTCAGACAACAGATCTCTGGGAAGATTAATAAAATCCGTAATTCTGTCGCTAGACTAACACGGTAAAAAAAGAAAGCAAGAAATTTTCATTATGGCCAAAGGGTAAACTCAACAGGGAGATTTAGTAATTCTAAATGGGATGAAATTAAAAACAGCTTCAGAGTTGACAAGTTAAAATGAGAAAGAGAGAAATGTGTGAATAACTAAAGATTTGCATTTCACCTTCTCAGTTACTGATGAAAACCAGTAGCAATGGAAACCAAAGGACACAGGAAGTTGAGCGACGTAATTGGACAGCTTCACCTAACTGGACACTTGAACACTGTGCTAACTGCAGAACACATTCTTGCCGAGTGCCTGTGAAGCATTTCCCACAGGCCACGTGTCAGGCTGCAAGGCAGACATATATCACTATAGATCCTGTAGAGAGTAAAAGAAAATAAGCATATTATGAATAATTTTATGCTAATCAATTTGAAAATTTAGACTGAATTTTAAGGATGGGTTGTGAACAGGCTTTCATTTTGGAAAGATCACTGTGGCCACAGTGTGGAGGGTGGGCTGGAGGGAGAAACCCCTGAGGCAGAGGCAGCGAAGCTGTTAGGAACCCCCTGCAATAACTCAGGTGAAGATGACCAGGCTAGGGAGTGGGGGTGGGGACAGAAGAAGGGATCAAATAAAATGGTAATAAAAACGGAGACTCTGTGATTCAGCGACTCTGCCAAACACTGATTTAAAAATCTTTTATTGATCGCCAACTGCGTGCCAGGCACCAGCGACAGTACAGTCCCTGTCTTAGTGGGATTGCTTGCCTGGGATTGGTATCAGAGACAGAAGCTGCGCTTACGAAGCTTAACTCTGATTCTCGGCTTAGGTTCTTCCCACCAGATACAGCAGCTCAGACCTTCCCTCTGCTACCCGACCTGTTTTATCTGTTGCATCTGATTCCAACACAAGTAACCTTCTATCTTCCTTTTCAATCCATTGTAATGGCCGAGTTCTTCCAAGTAGCTCCATTGATTTAAATATTTTACAAAATTAAACTAAACTCAGAAATTTCCTTGGTTTGGCTCAAAGTTAGGAGATGGCTATTCCAAAAATCAATATGCTTCCCTTTTATAATGGAGCTGGGTGCGCTGTCCCTGGGGCACTTGCAACCCCTTGGGCCTCTTCTACCCGAGATGAAGCAGACCAAGGCTTGGTGAAAACAGTCTCTTTGATCACTTTGGCCAAAAGCAAGCAATAGGGCAGCTGGCACCCTGCATTCTCCTGAGCTGCTCAGGCTTCCTCTTAGGAAGTAGAAGGACCTGGAAGATATTGGAGCCGGCATGTCTTAGGAAGAAACGAAGACTTGGAGAAGTCGAGTGATTTGCAGTCTTCCCCACAGACCCAGGACCCGAACACAGAGCTTTGCAGGGCTCTGGCCTTGAGCACATCTGCACCACAACCCTGGGAGCCAGACACCTCGTTCCGACAGCTGGATATTTGGAAAAGATGTGGTTTTGGTTTTTGCTCCGCATGACCGTTTCTAGTGCAAATCGCGCTCCGTCTGCATTCGCAGGCAGTGCTGGCTCCTCCCCGATATCTCTGGCTAAAGAGAGACCAGGATCTGAGCTGTGCAAAGTAGAAGTCAGACACTCTTCAGGGCCATTGCAAGGATCCAAGGAAGGGTCTTCTTCTTTTCCACCTGCTTTTAGACCCCTAAAATTGCAAAGACAAAATGCCGCATGATACAAGGAGAGCGAAGGCTCATGGTGCACACGCCCCTGGGAGGGAGATGTCAGGCTTTAGATGGCACTGAGTAGCAAATAACGGACCTCGAATCCCTCCCTGGGAGCACGTTCTGACAGAGGAGAGTAGAGTGCACTGGGCTACCAGGACCCCTGGGAGTGACAGAGAGATGGTCACTGGGCTGGCAACAAGGATCAGAGGAAGTGTGCGTTTTGGAGGGAGGCAGGTGTGTGGGACGAAAGCAAGAGAGGGTGTTTGGCACAGTGACTTGAGCTCCTGCGGGACTCTAGCGTCCAGTATCAGAGTGCCTGGTTTGAGTCTTGGCTACTCCACTTCCGATTCAGCTTCTTGCCAATGCACATCCTTGGACGCAGCTGGTGATGGCTCAAATACTGGAGACCCTGTCACCCACATGGGAGAATCAGTGCCTCCTGGCCTCCTGGCAGCGAGTTAGAAAAACGGTGCCCTTTCCTCTGCTGGTTCACCCTCCAAATGCCTGCAACAGTCAGGGCTGGAGCAGGTGAAAGCCAGGAGCCAAGAACTCCAACAGGGTCTTGTAGATGAGTGGCAGGAGCCCAAGCACCTGAGCCATCACCGGCTGCCTCCGAGGGTGTGCACCATCAGGGAGCTGGAGTCAGAGCAGAGCTGGGACCTGAACCATTCCGAACTGGCATGGGCACACACCAAGCAGCATCTTAACCACTGAGCCAACTGCCTGCCCCCAGTGTTATTTTGATGCAAAAAAATTTGAAACCCGTGCATTGTTTTTCCATAACACTCATTTCCCAGGAACCTTTAAGACTCCTCATATTTAGTGCCCCATTGTGATTGGAGGAGCAATGCCTCCCCTCTAGGGGTCTTTCCATTCAACCCACTGTCTACATCTTTCTTCTCCCACTAAGAGTTTCCACGCTTTCTTCCCCTCCTCCAAGTTCAGAAACCTTCCCCCTGTGCTTTCTGTCCTGCCAAAGCACTGCCTTCGCGCTAGTCCTGGGAGAGATGAGGTGAGCAATGTCATTTCAAGGAGTTTAAGTCAGCTGCTCCCCCGACCCTCCGGCCACCCCCCGCCAGGTTAGCTCCGGGCAATGGCGTCGGCAGGCTGGGCCCTGGGCCAGCGAGTGGGCCCTTGGCGAAAGCCCTTCCCACCTTCCCTTCCTCTCCCTCCTGGGAGTGCTCCCCACGGAAGCAGGAGTGAGGCTGAGGACAGGCTGCGCATTCTGCCTGCTGTCTCCCTTGGTGGCTGGATGCTGAAAACGATCTAATTACGCGGGAGGGAGTGATTGTCCATCCTAAGCTGGGATATGGTTTTCTGTGACTGTGAAAATGGAGAAAGCAGCCCGGCCCTGTGGAAGGGCTCCCCTCCCAGGCCAGGCCCAGCCCTCACTCTCAGCACCTGAGCAGAGCTGGGCTGAGCTGGGCCCTGTGGGGAGTGGCAGGCCCTCAGGGCCAGATGAATCCATGGAGGAGGGGCCCAAGCTTTCTCTTTCATCACCTCCTCCTCAAGTCTCTTCCGTGTGATAAAAAAGACAAGGCCTGTGGCACCAACTCCAGGAGATAAAAGTACTTTCAGAGGGGAGATGAGTTATCAGAGCTCCTGGGTGTGTGTGTGTGTGTGTGTGTGCAAGTGCACCTGTGGGCGGTGCTTGCGATACTGGCAACTTACACTTTGGGGTGATAAATTGCATCAGGAGCACCTGTGCCTTCTGTCTTCTCACTGATGACACCACACAGACACACACACAACACACACACACACACACTTCAGGACCACCCCTCCCCCCCCCATAGTCCAGCAAAAACAGTTCTAGGGAATCAATCATTTCCGACCTACTACAAGTTCAAGCCAATGTGTTATTTCTTCCAAGGTCATCCGCACTGTAAGCCTTGGCCCCAGTCATTAAACAAGTCATTGTGCGTTGTGATGAAGGGGCAGCACACACCAGCCCAGGGGCAGGAGAGAACAGGGGCAGCAAGAGTTGACGTCCACTTCCAGTCCTGCACAGAGAGAAACAGAGATTTTTCCCAAGCTTTGGCTTTTTTGTTTGTTTGTTTGTTTTTGTTTTTGTTTAAACCTCTGCTGCACTTACTGTCAACAGAACCTGCTATTTTCACCATTAATCCCTTAAGGTGAAAACATTTTCCTTCAAAGCCCAGAACTGTTCCTTAGAAGGGGCGGTACAGTGACTGGACAGGAGGGGACCACGCTCACGTTCGCGCAGTAGCCACCTTAGACCGCGACTGGAATGGACATAGAGCAGGGGGAGTTAGTGACCGGAAGAGGAAAGCAGGATGATGCGGCGGAAGGAGCTCCAGCCTAAAGTCAGGAGACCCAAGTGTGCCAACAGCCGTGTGGCGCGGGTCAGGAGACCCGAGTGTGCCAACAGCCGCGTGGTATGGATCAGGAGTCCTGAGTGTGCTAATAGCCGCGTGGCGTGGGTCAGGAGACGTGAGTGTGCTAATAGCCACGTGGTATGGATCAGGAGACCTGAGTGTGCCAACAGCCGCGTGGTGTGGGTCAGGAGACCTGAGTCCACTGATAGCTAAGTGGCGTGGAGTAAGTCACTTTTCTTTTCTGTTCTCAATGGCAAGAGGAAATGCCGCAGGCTCTCCACACGGCAGTTGTGAGATTCAAGAGAGCACATGCAGAAGGATTTTTCTAGAAAAAGATTTATTTATTTGAAAGGCAGAGATAGAGGTAGAGATGGGTGATAGATGGATGGGTGGATGGATAGATAGATAGATAGATAGATAGAGCTTTTTATCCACTGTTCACTCTCCAAATAATCGCAGTAGAAGGGCTGGGCTAGACCAGAGCCAGGAGCCAGGAGCCAGGAGCTCCATCCTGGTCTCCCACCTGGGTGGCAGAGTCCCATGTACTTGGGCCATCTTCCTCTGCATTCTCAGGTGCATTAGCAGGGAGCTGGGTTGAAAGCAGAGCAGTGGGACTTGCACTGGAGCTCCTGTGGGTCGCAGGTGTCACGGGGCCATGGCTTAACCCTGTGCCACAACACCAGCCCCTGTGGAAAGAATTTTAAGCTGCTGAGACTATTGATGAGTGTTTGAGTCTGTGAGACGGAGCTCCTTTCTTAGCTGATTGGTGTCTCCAAGGTGCTGGTGCCTACAATTCATGTCCCTCCTGGGAAAAGACAGGGTGGGGCTGAAGCCAGCAGGAGCCTCCCTCGGTCTCTGTGGCCTTTTGGTGGGCAGCAGGGGCTCAGACGTCTCGCTGGGACTCCAGACTCGGCTAACAGCCTCTTCTCAGTAAACATCAGGGTCACGTGTGCCACGTCAGGTGCCGGGCACAAATGCTAGGCTTCTCCTCTGTTTTTTTTTTCTTATTTTTTTAATTTTTTTCTTTTTTTTTTTGACAGGCAGAGTGGACAGTGAGAGAGAGAGACAGAGAGAAAGGTCTTCCTTTTGCCGTTGGTTCACCCTCCAATGGCCGCCACGGCTGGCGCGCTGCAGCCAGCACACCGCGCTGATCCGATGGCAGGAGCCAGGTGCTTCTCCTGGTCTCCCATGGGGTGCAGGGCCCAAGCACTTGGGCCATCCTCCACTGCACTCCCTGGCCACAGCAGAGGGCTGGCCTGGAAGAGGGGCAACTGGGACAGAATCCGGCACCCCAACCGGGACTAGAACCCGGTGTGCCGGCGCCGCAAGGTAGAGGATTAGCCTAGTGAGCCGCGGCGCCAGCCTGGGCTTCTCCTCTGTACACCCAGAGTGGTCCAGCCTGCAACACCACTGGCCACTGCAGCCTCCAGCTACTTGGCAAAACTGGTGTTCCATTTCGGAAAAGAAAACTTGTTCATGTTGGCGAGGCAATGACCCCTGAGGCCCACCCGTCCTGAGGTTCGCTCTAACAACACACAGTGCAGGACACAGGACAGCCGGGCAGTGGCTGGATCCCAACTCAGAGATGCATGCAGGAAAACACCCTGCTTCTCCTTTCTCCGCTTTGCTGCCAGCCACTGGCACCCCGGAAACTTAGGAATTTGACTTCATTCTTCATTTTCCTCCTTTGTGTCGTCTGTACGCACCCCTATCTCAAAGGCGTTGGGGGCAAGGTGCCACTGCTCCCATGCGTCGTTCCTGCCGGCTGTGGTTCCAATGTGTGCCCTGAAGTTCATGTGCTGGAAACTTAACCCGACCCTGTGTTGGGAGGCGGAGCTTTCTAAGAGCGATTAGGTCATGCGGCAGCACCCTTGTGAATGGATTAATGCCATTCCTGGGAGAGTGGGTTGTCAGGAAAGTGAGTTGCCCCCCACCCCTGCACGCTTGTTCCTGCATGCTGGTGCCCCGCCCCCTTCTGCCATGGGATGACTCAGCACAAAAGTCCTTGGCAGATGTCAGTGCCATGTTCTTGGACTTCCCAGCCTCCAGACAAATCTCTTTTCTTTATAAATTGCCCAGCCACAGGTATTCTGTTCTGGGAGCGGAAAAGAGACCAAGATGCCGCCTGAGTCTGGGGGACTGAAGAGTGGGCCCTGAAGCCAGTGCAAAGGCCAAGGTTAGAATGGCAACCAGGCATTGAGCATTGGCCTTCTGAAAGTGTCTCGTGGGTCAGGAGCACCGAAATGGACCGCTGAGGTCTGTGGGGCTCAACTCTGCACTCCCTCATCAGTGACGCCACGTCCTTTGTCCCAGGTTCTCCACCAGGAGAACCATGTAGGACTTTGCCTCCAGGGCCTTTTGGGACAGGGAAGGCCACAGACCGGGAACCCCTCTGGCCCCAGCTGTGTGATGCCACTCCATGGAACCCCTAACATCTCTCTCTCTCCCCAGCCTCTGTGGAGGCTTCCTTGGAGAATCAGATCTGGAGTGGACATGGGGTAAGGCATGGCGAACCATTTCTCAGCACAGCCACCAAAGAAAGCCCAGCTGCTCCAGGATCTATATGTTTTCACAGGGAACCAGCTCCAGCAACAGATGTCGGCAAAACCGTGCCAAAGCTCCCCATCACCCATTTGAGCTTCAAGAAAGTGCTGGAACTAAGAATGACAGCCAATACAAGGGCAAGAGAGGACAAGAGAAAGCAGAACCAGGGTCTGAGATGCAGGAGCCTTTAGGGACCCCCAGGGACGGAGGAAGCAGAAATCAGCAATTCAGTCCTTCATTCTTTCCTTCGTTATGTACGCATGTATGCCTGCAGGCATGTATGCGCCTCCTCGTTGCAAATCACATTAATTCACTTATTTATTCAAATATTCATTGAGCACCTGCTCTGTTCCAGACATCATGAGCAAAATCAGGCCCAGCACTGACCTGGTGGAGCTTACGGTTCCGTGGGGGAAATAAGTATTAATCCCGGAATCACACCGAGAGCTCAGCGATCACCAGCTGTGATGAGCACAGTGCAGGAAGGTGCTCAGAGGTCCCCGCAGGAGTGGTGTGCAGGGGTCCCTGCGCCCTGGCTACTGAGAGCCGACTGCTCCCTCTCCAGGAATGTCGGGAGCCAGGCATTAAATGCCGCCACTGCTTAAAAATGAGTTCTATGAACTCATAATTAAATAAATTGCATTTTCAAAGATCACAAAAGCATCAGACTCATCACTTCATGTTTTGCATATCACCATGATTATCTATGTTTTTTAGTATCTGGATGATGGAAATACGATAGGAGGCTGTAACCACATTTCTCTTCCCGGCTCCACTGGCCAGCTTGCAGTTGGCCATGGCGGGAGTGTTTATACGGAAATACCAGTACAAACCAGTGTTTTTTTGTTCCAGAGATTTACTTGTTGCCCATTTTCCAGCACCCCATTGCATGATGTCATTGCATGATGTCATTGCATGATGTCATATAGCAAGCAGCAAGGGTCTAACCTGCAGAGAGACGTGCCAAGATAACCATGGATTGTGTATCAGATGTCACTAGTTGTTCTTTCAGACTTTTTCTTAGCTTGCCCTTAAAACATGGTGGCAATTTTTTGGGTTAAGAAACTACATATCCCAGCCTCCCTCAGGGCTTGGGGTTGGAGTCATGTGACCCAGTTCTGGCTAATGACATGGAAGAGATCATTTGCTGCAGATTTCTGGGACAGCTTTTGCTTCTGAAAGTGGGTGTCACCCCTTCCTCTCCATGTCTTCCTTCTTCTTCTTCCTGTCTGGGGCAATGGCTGGGACAGCTGTGTTGTGACCTGAAGGGGTCGTGGGGATGAAACAGCAAGAATGGCCAGGCAGGGAGGCAGGGAGAGCTGGGTGTGGATGACTATGGTGCTTCTGGATCTCCTGTGTGAACAATGAACCCCTATTTGCTTAAATTACTCAGTTGGGCTCCTTTAACATGCAGCCAGGTGCCATTTCTTACAAAGATGAGAAGTGATGTCTGGGCTGACTTAATAGGAAGAGGCAGAAATTGAATGCCAGCTCAGTGGAGTGGGGCCTTAGTGCCAAGTAAGCAGGTTTGCTGTGTGGCTCAGCCCTCAGATTTGCCCCCTCTGGGCTCTTGACCTCTCCCTGCTCAGAGAGCCTGGAATTTCCAGTTGAAAGGGAAAACCACAAGGAGGTTGCTAAGGCAGGAGCAGCTTCGTTAGTCCCAGGAGGTCTCATTTCATGGATTAATGAGCAGTGGCGTGGCTCCCATACAACAACCTCTCCTCCTCCTTCTCCCAGCTCCTGAACAGCTTTCCAACCTCAATTCCAAATTCTCAACCCCGGGCTGGCCCTTCCCTGCCTGCCCCGAAGCTGCTTCTTCAAGGAGGCACCGTTTGAATCCTAGCACAGAAAATTCTCAAAGAAAAAAGCCTTCAGCTGTCTGCTGGGGTTTGTGTATCCTGATTACGGAGCGCTTTCCTCTGAAAGGGACTCATCTCTATAGAAACTGCCACGTCACTGGCTCTGCAGGCACGGACTGAGCCCTTGGCTGCCCCTTCCAGAACATTTCCCACCAGACCCACCTGGGGACCAGGGAGGAAGAGGACCCTGGAGCCATCCGTGGCTTGAAATGCCTCCCCTCCCCTCCTTCCCTTCCCTCTTTCTCCCTCTCCCTCCCTTCC